ACACACACACACACACACACACACACACACACACACTCACTCACTCACAATCAATCAATCAACCAATCAATCAAACCCCTTTTTTGAAGTTTTTTCTTTATTTATTTTCAAATTTTGCATTTGCATTTTTTTAAAACACCTCATACCCCTGCAAAAAACAGCAATTCATTTCTGAAAAAATACAGGTGAACTCAGGGACCATATATCTATATATATCGTCACAAACAGATATATATATTTTTAAATCGAATTCAGTTTTTCATTTTTTTAAAATCCGAAACAAAGTTGGAGTCCAAAAAAAAAAATATGGGGTTGTAGGGCTTAAAATTCCCTACAACCCCATATATATATATATTTTTAACCTATTATTTAATTCAGGGAAATTCTGGTAAAATCGGGTCCGCAGCGCGGACCAGGTCGGCCGCGGACGCGGACCCGTCTGCGTCCGCCATCCGAGATCGGACCCGCGGACGCGTCCACAGGTGTTTCATAGGAGCCAGGTCCATTCTAGATAGATTTAGAGAAAAATATAGCTTAGGTCCATACTTGGGCTTGCACCTCAGACAGAGCCGAAACTCAGACCCATAACTCGTTCCCCAGAGCTTAGTGATGTTGCAGAAGCATATAACCTCACGAGAGCCGTTGCTCATGCATAGTAACTCCCTCATGGCTGAGGATGGACGAGTATGTCATGCCAATGATGCCTGGTCCGTGGTCTGTCAGACCACACTATGCCAAATCGAAATATGAGGCCTGGTGAGCCCCTATTTTTTGAGAAAACGTGCACGGCGGTTGTTTGCCGCTGATCTGCAAAGATAACCGGCGGAGATCCTCCGCTCGTTGTTTTCTAGAAGTGGGGCCCAAAAAGCCCCTTTTTTTTTTTTTTTGAAGGAGGCTGCGGCCTCGTGGGGGCTGGGCAGTCGTGGGGATGCCTGTCACTGCCCGCTACCCCCCGTCCAGCCTAATGCACTGGATTCGACCGGGGGTCTGCCGGGCCGGTCGACCAGCAGGCTCCTGGGCGGGGGAGGGGCCCCCGGTCCAACCGGGGACCAGCCCTGATCCACCCACAATTGTGAGAACATGAGGAGCCCTAACTTTGTCCCTTCAAGGTAGTCGGCAATATTTGCAAAAACCAGAGTAAAAAAATTAAAGCCACAACATGCTTTGTTCCAGAGGTTAAATTAAAAAAAACAGAGAAAAGTTCAGAAAACAGCCACAACATGCCTAGTATGCAACCAAGAAAAAGATAAAGAGAAGCAGAGAAAGAAAGAATATCAAGATCTGCCTTGCAGACACACAATAGCCCAAGAGCGTAACTCACATATGAGGACAGGCGTCGCCTGTGCAATTTTGCCCACTTCATCATCTGCCTGCATGATTTTCTTAATTCGAGCCTGCAAGAACAAACAGGGGAGGAAAGCACCATCGCAGCAAGGAACACTCTCGTCAAGCCAATAACAAGGACCCCATTGTTGAATTTGAACCCTCCTTTGCCCCTGCACATCTGCACCCATACATTGTTGCGCATGATTCGTTCCGTAAACAGACATACGTGACCAATCAATCTGTGTCCTCCCTAATCCATCTACTTGCCCCATTCTTCTTAGATCAACCTAGCACCTCCTCAAGTACAGAATCATCATCAACATAAAGCACAGTTTGGTCACGAAAATGACTGGAGCCTCGTTGCTACAAACTCTAACTCTGCCTCCCATGACTGAACAGAAATGTCGTCAGTTGCAAATCCTTTCATTTCAGCAACAGACCTGAACACCTAATTGCGTCTCAAAATCAAACACACCACTCACACCCCCACACTCCCCTTTCTTCCTTGTTCTCATGCATTTCTCACGGTGGTGGCAATGACGGAGGTGACCTTAGTTCTGATAATGGTGGTGGTGATGCTGCTGGCGTTATCATGATGATGCCAGTGATAATGTTGGCGGTAATGGTGCTCGTGATGGTACTGGTGATCTCGATTGTGCTGATCGTCCTGGTGATCGTGCCTGTGATGGTCCAGGTGATGGTGCTGATGATGGTGCTGATGATGGTGCAGGCGGATGGTGATGCTGATGGCAGTAAGGACAGTGATGGTGATGGGGATGGGGATGGGGATGGTGGTGGGGATGATGATAAGGACAGTAATGGTAAGGGTGATGGTGATGGTGATGGTGATGGTGATGGTGATGGTGATGGTGATGGTGATATGGTGATATGATGATATGGTGATATGGTGATATGGTGATATTGTGCTGATGGTAACCGTCATGATGGAGTGGGGGGTTGCACTAAATAACAGTGTGGTGTTGGAGATGGCTATGGGGATGGTGATGGTGATGGTGATGGTGATGGTGATGGTGATGGTGATGGTGATAAGCACAGTAATGGTAAGGGCGATACGGTGATGGTGATGGGGACGTGCACGATAACGCACCCTTACTCCATCATGACTGCTACCATCAACATCCCCATCCCCATAGCCATCTCCAACACCACACTGTTATTTGGTGCAAGCCCCCACTCCATCATGACTGCTACCATCAGCACAATATCACCATATCACCATCACCATATCAACCAGGCCTTATCTTTCTTCTTCTTCTCCTTCTCCTTCTCCTCTCTCTCTCTCTCTCTCTCTCTCTCTCTCTCTCTCTCTCTCTCTCTCTCTCTCTCTCTCTCTCTCTCTCTCTAGTGCTTTATCGTGCACACTGCACATCTCCATAGCTAAGGGTGACACGAAAAAGCACGATGCCGTCCAGTTGCAAAAGAAATGAATAAACTTGAGAGGAGAGAGAGAGAGAGAAAGAAGGAGAAGAAGAAGAGAGAAGGAAGAAGAAGAAGATGTACACCAGCGAAAGGCCAATTACAATTTACCTTCTTCTCGGCAACCAAACTCGTCCTCCTTTCTCCTCCCCTCTTACTCAAACAATAAATAACAATAATAATGATGAATGGCAGAACCAGAATCAATGTCTGAATCCCACTTCTACTACTTGGCATAACTACAGGTCCACCATAGCCATCATCAACCAGGCCAAGGCTATGGCAGACTGCTAAGGGCCTACCCCTGCTGTGCGAAAGACACACAAAGCAGCTATGTCCGCTGCTGCTCAGGCCGCCATTCCTGACTCTGCCTTGAAGCCTTCTTGGTGCGGCGCCACCCCCACTGGGGGCTTCCAGATGCAGCGCCTAACAAGGTGATGAAGATGGTGTCCACCATAGCCAGGTAGGTACCTCGCCACTCTCCTCCCTGATCCCCTTCTTCCTCCCCCTCCTACCGGTAGAGCTCCACCATAGCCGAGGTGGAACATCCCGGCCTTCTCCATCCTCCCAGCGCTGTAATGGCCAGCGCTCTTCCTCCTAGCAGCGCTCTGAAGCCTAGCGCTCGCTCAATATGTCGCCCAAACTTGCATTCCGCCAATGAGGTAGAGCCCAGCACTCTACCTGAAGATATGCCTCTTGGGCGGTGACTTCCAGGCCGCGCAGCCTCCAAGCAACCAGTACCTCCTCCCTTCCAGAGGGAAACATCATTGCATGCTCTGATATCGTCCACACAGGCCCTAGACTCAGGCTACCTGGACTGGTACCCACCTAGACCTAGCCTACCAACTACTGGGCCTCTCAAAATGCCAACTTTGTCTTCTGCTCCGCCTCCAGTTCCCAGCACATCTACCACTACTTGAGTGGTACCGGCCTACCTGCTACTTGAGTGTTTTTCCCGCTGCTCTAAGTGCCGCGGGCCTTCTGCCGCCACTTGAGTGTCTTCCGCGATGCAACCCTCAAAGTCACGGCCACAGGTAAATACCGGCCCTGCAGGGCCGCCAAACAAACAAGTGCCCTTGCGGGCCACACACACACTCAGACCGACAAGACTCAGACAGGCACACAGACCAACGAGCACGCACACACACGGACTTAGAAACTCAGCAGACCACGGGCATCTCAGCAAGGCATTCATTCCAGGTGCAAAACTCAGAAATCAGCAGTGTTCTCACTCTGTGTTTTGACAGGTCATTACAGTGATGGCGATGGCGATATGGTGATATGGTGAAATGGTGATCTCGTGTTCATGGTAGCGGTCATGATCGAGTGGGGGGTTGCACCAAACAACAGTGCCTTAAACTATGACTCCAGAAGTGTGTGCGCACTGCTATTTGGCAATCGCCCCATTTCCCTGTGCTATGAGTCTGGTCCACGAATGTAGCTTTACTCTGACGTGCTACGAGTCTGGGCCTGCTATGAGCACAATACTTAAGTTTTCAAGATGTGCACTCGAAGCCCATCCCCAGCATTCACCCTGGCATCCATTGCAATCTTTGAGTCCCGCTATCCTGTCGCCAGGGATCAGCTGGACAGTAGCTACTACGCCCTTCCTGTTTCTTCAGGTGAGAAAATGACGAGTTTTTGGTCTCCCCATAATCTGTCCTTCTGGCAGACTCATCTCACTCTAATCCTCCCACAGATGCACACCAGCTCCCAAATCGGGCATGCCTCTTACGCCTACCAGATAAGAACCATGACCTGAAATTGCCAATAAATCGCTAACAGATCCGAGGCAATAGATTACTCCCTACCCGTAACATCTGTCCTATCCGACCACCTGCCCTGGTCGAAATTTCAAGTCTGTCACCCACCCACTGTACCTGTTTCCTCTCCGCATATTCTTGTGGCCACATCGATCTGAAATGCCGATAAATCCCCACCAGTCCCCAAGTCTCCATCTCTGTCCCTGTTGGCAATTTTCAAATCTGTCCCTCCAAGACTTTACCTTTCCGTTGCGGTGACAAATTTCATGTCTGCCTGTGCAACTCCGTCCAGTCGCCGGTCAGCCCACAGACAGACCAATCCACACAGATTTGCTGAGTTACAAACAAGGACAAGAATCAGCACACTCACATGGAAAACTTCGGAAACCACAGGAAGCACGGCGAAACATGCAGCAAACTCTGACTAAACCACATTTATCAAGCCATAAGTGTGTTTATATGTTATGTTATGTGTAGGCGACTCCTATCTAGATAGGGCTGTGAAGCGGCACAGTATCCTTGAAAAACTTATCCATGATCACGACCAACCGGGATAGCCTTCAAACTTAGCCAAACGTATAATATCTGGCGTGGGTATCTCTGACAGTCACATGCATATGGATGAGAATGGAGGGAGCAGGAAACCAGATGAAACCAGATGAAATTGAAAAACTTATCCATGATCACGACCAACCGGGATAGCCTTCAAACTTAGCCAAACGTATACTATCTGGCGTGGGTATCTCTGACAGTCACATGCATATGGATGAGAGTGGAGGGAGCAGGAAACCAGGTGAAACCAGATGAAAGACACGGAGGGGAGTAGGGAAGAGGGAAAGTGAAGGACGGAGCAAACGGAATGAGAGTGGCAGGGCAAGAAGGCAGCAACAGAGAACAGGAGGGGGCGTACAGTCAGGGTGCGGGACAGGCAGACATGACGGGAAGAACAAACAGGCATACAGGTCGATAGACAGATTGACAGCCAGACGAATGAGTTGGAAAGGCAACGACTGGCATAACTGTCCCTCATTTCACACCCTGCAAAGAAGGAGACAATGGAGGAGGGAGTGTGGTCCTTGCAAAGTTACCCCCAGACCAATTGGTAGGCAGCCTAAGGCAGGGGAATAGCACATCGGAGGCTCAGTGACTCCCAGACCAATGTAGAGTAGCTTTTGAAATAAGCAAACGTCCATAAATATTAAATATTGAGCTTCAACTGTAAGACGACCACACGACAGATGCTCCTTGTCTGTATAAGACCACATCCTGCCTTGTTTATTTCACGCAACAGCGTGTACCTTCGGCTGTGGAGTGTCTGCTGAACCTTCTAGAACCTGCATTGCATGAAATTTGCAATTTCCCAGAACATGAGGTATTCTTCGTAGCCAAATTTTGAAATGCGGAGTTGTTACCTTTAAGTAATCATCAAAAGAAGGGCCAGCAGAGCTCCGCTTGCATTAGAAAGAAGTACGGCGAGATAATCATATCTTGAGAGAAAGGGAGAAAAGGACCCCCAGCGAAGGTAAAGGAGATGCCTTGCATAAGATGAAACAAAGAAGAAAACAGAAAGGATTCATCAATGCTATAGGAAGTGGGATGTCGGCTTTACACAGTGAATGTATGTCCGAAAAGAAGCTGGATTTTGCAGTAGTGTGTATCAGAAAATATTCACACATTGACCGTGTGATATCTGCTATTTGCAGTGCCATTCTAACGACTGCAAATTCACACCAGGCACTGCATCCAGCTGCACAATACCGCTGGGGACTATGCCCTTGAGAGGGAAAGGAATGGGACCAGGGATTGACATATCAACACCTTTGTCCGATGCAACAAACGAGAAGAACATCTACTCTTCCACGGCATTCAATCATCAACTTGCCAGCTGGAAGTTAATGGTGTTACTTGCCCAACTCTCTCTCTCTCTCTCTCTCTCTCTCTCTCTCTCTCTCTCTCTCTCTCTCTCTCTCTCTCTCTCTCTCTCTGTGTCTGTCTGTCTCGCGCACGCGACCACTTAATTTCACCCGGCTGATTTGGGCAAAAAACGAGGCAAAGACAAACCCAGAAAGTCCCAAGAAACAGCTCTTTCCACGTTTCTTCCTTCACTGCATGATTCCACGCAGAGAAAGGTGACTGTGTAATTTTAATCGAACGGTTCAGCTCTCTGTACTCCAAGGCAAGGACTGTTTTCTCTCTCCAGCACTGCCACCCCCACTCTCACAGCGCCCTGACAAAGTTGGGCAATTAGCTGGGGTGGTTTGTTCTGTCACCCTGTGAGGGTCTGCTGCACATTCTTCAATTTTTTTAGTAGTGAGGGTCTGCTGCACATTCTTCAATTTTTTTAATTGTTTTTAATATTTAGTATAATTTTACTATTTTTCCCTTTGTTCGGACTTGCATCTGTTTCTTCTTTTCCACTTTCCTTTTTCCCTCTTTTCCCTTTTTTTCTTTCTCGTCTTCCGCCCGCACAAAATCCATTAGACGTACCGAAACAAAAGCCAGTCCAGAAAACACATCTGACATCTACAATCAGTCCCCACCCTGTCAGATGAAAGCGACCGACGGCCAGCATCCCTCCTAAAACAACGATGTAACCTCATGTTCGCGGCCACCATCATGGGCAAGGGTCTGTTGCAAGTCTGGAGGGACACTAGGCCATTTTCCTTTTCAGGCTGTATACTGTCACATGCGGCCTCACTGCACCACTCGCCAAACACCAACACTATGTACTAATCTCAAATCTCAAGAGGGAATTAGCTGGCATACATCCCTGATGTTGGCATCTGGCGAGTGGTGCGGCAAGGCCCTTGGTCGCTACCACTTTTGGAGGGACCACTATGCGAAAGCCCACCCACAGCTGTGGCTTACAATCTGTCTGAGTCTGGACAGCGCAGATGGTAGGGCGTTTCCTCTCCGAAGCTCACCAGATCATTATCGATTTTAACCATCACTACCTCTGAAGAGTCGCCTCAACTTGCTCAGCGCAAGTCTACGAGGCGTGGCTTGGTCTGAACTTGCTCTGCACCTCTCTGCATTTCTTCAGAGCTATACTAAGCAAGTTAAGGCAGAGCCAAGCCTCTGGTTCTGGTTAAGGCAGAGCCAAGCCTCTGGTTCTGGTTCCTCATCAGACATTATGAAGCGAAGAGCTTTCTGAGGGTTCCCTTTCTTCAAACCACCGGTCCCTTTTAGCCTCTGTTTCCCGATAAGGACTGTTGCTGTGCGCCCATTCCGACCAAAACAGTGCGGCAAGCTATTTGCCTGGCAGTCCCAGCCTTTTCTGTCTGGTAGGCCCGGGCCACGATTTTCCAGCAGGTTAACAGTAGCTGGGAAGGGCCTGGTGCTTCATGGGGTAATTGAACATTCTTTTGAATGTCTTTGCTGAGGACTCTGTCCTGAGTCTTTTTTGACAAACGCAGCTCTGGCTGCATCCTGCCTCGGTGAGCGTGGAGCGAAGTTGGTGCGTTAAACCACCAGTTCATCGGACCTGTACTTTTAAGATTCATTTCATAAACGAATACCACCAACGAATAAATAGTAATCAGGCCCGGTGGAGGTTCGGGCGACCACGGCCTGTGCGACCGAAAAATTGTGGCAGGCACTACCGGAAAGGGCTGGCAACGCATATGAAAACACGCTGCCCACCCAAAGAGTTCTGACTACAACTGACATGGAAAAAGAAAAAGGTGGGGGAGCAGACCAGATGGAAAGAAGGAAAACGACACACACCGCGCACAGCGAACGACGGGCACACCTCGAAATCCCAGTATAGATGTGTTCACTCCCCCTCCCTCTACTCCATTGCGCACCAGGGCACGAACTTGGCGCATAGGGACAGCATCTCCATTTCCGCTGGCCAGGTAGTGCTTCAGCGTATACGAGAGAGAAAAAAAGAGAAAGAGAGAGAGTGCACACACACTGCCATCTTCCCCCGGACACAACACACCCCGATAACGAATGTATACAAGCTATTTTTCCAGTTCGGTGCAGCCAAACTGGCTTCGCACCCTGATAACGAATGCATACAAGCTACCTTCCTGGTCCCGTGCAGCCAAAATGAGGGTGTGTTGTTCTCAGAGGAACACAACAGTACGGGAGGGAGAGAGAGGGAGTGAGAGGGTGCACGTGTGCTACCGTTTTCCCCCGAACACAACGCACCTTCTTAACGAATGTGTAAAAGCTATCTTTCAGGATCGGTGCAACCCAAATAGCTTTGCACCCTGATAATGAATGTATACAAGCTATCTTTCTGTTTCAGTGCAGCCAAAATGAGTGTGCATTGTGTTCCGGGGAAGACTGCAGTTCGGAGGGAGTGGGGGAGAGAGAGAGAGAGTGCACGCGTGCTACCGTCTTCCCCCAAACACAACAAACCCTGATAGTGAATGTACACAAGCTACCTTTCCGGTTTGGTGCAGCCAAAATGAGGGTGGGTTGTGTTCGGGGAAGACAGCAGTGTGGAGGGAGGGGGAGAGAGAGAGAGAGAGTGCACTCGTGCTACCGTCTTCCGCATCCTGATAATGAACATATACAAGCTATCTTCCCGGTCCTGTGCAGCCCAAATGAGGGTGCATTGTGTTCGGGGAAAGACGGCAGTGTGGAGATAGTTAGAGAGAGAGAGAGAGAGAGAGAGAGAGTGCAAGCGCACTACCGTCTTCCCCCGAACATAATGCACCCTGATAACGAGTGTAGACGAGCGATCTTTCAGGTCCGGTGCAGCCTGATAACGAATGTAGACAAGCGATCTTTCAGGTCCGGTGCAGCCAAAATGGCTTCGCACTCTGATAACAAGCGTATAAAAGCTATCTTTCCAGTCCGCTGCAACCAACGTGAGGGTGCATTGTGTTTAGGGGAAGGTAGCAGTACGGAGCAGGGAAGGGGGGAGGAGAGAGAGAGAGAGGGAGGGAGGGGGAGGGAGGG